GAGCTGATGAAACATACTCAGCAAACAATTTGAGTTAAAATAAGTTGAAACATAATTATAAAGACAAATCTAGGTTTTAAATAATATCAAAAATAAATTATTTCATAACATGAATTTTTAATAATAAGATTGCACTAACAATTTAAAAAATTAAGAAATAGGAAAATATATTGATGAAGATTTATTTTTCTGCATTTACACTTATGGGTTTTAGAGTTTAAGTTAAATTGTAAGAGAATCTAATGTAAGCAATAATGAGTTAACATATATGACAAGAATGAAAATTCAACTTTATTTTAACAATACACTTTAACTTTTGTAAAACTTTGAGCATGGTGTTTTCAAATTGATACGAGCATTCAATCAAATTTCTGTTAAAATTCAGATGATTTTCTAAAGTATAATGACTTTATTTATTATATATTTGGCAATAATAAAATGAAATAAAACTTACAAAACAATAAAAGTTTAACTAACAAGTTAATTCTAAGAATATGAAATTGATATGAAAAGGTGCTGCTTCATAACTTTAATAGCTATTTCTCGATATAATTCTTCTCATTAGATCCTTTTTCAATGCAGCCAAATAAAATTATATAGCTTCATTTTTGTTCCCTAATTCAAATAGTGAATCAGCTAAATTGAAATATAACTCAGAATTATGTACCTTTGCATCTCAATCTTTAAGGTTGAAATAGCTTAATCAAAACATAGAATTGCATCTGCATATTTCTTTAACTTATGTAGTGCCAAGCTTAAATTATATTTAAATTTATCTTTATTACTCAAAGTTTAATCAAGTATGGGATTAATTGAAACTGCTTTGTCAAAACAGTCAATAGCTTCTTAGTATTTCTGGAATTTTCTTTAATGACGAACCTATACAATAATATATTGAAATATTACCTTTGTTACACCAAGCTTTATAATCTTTGGGATTAATTGAAATTAGTTTTTCGTAGCGCTAAATTGATTCTTAGTATTTCTATAAATCATATACAATCAAAAAATAATGTAAATGAATGAAATATAAAAGACCTATTTTAATAAGATTTGCAATACCTTAATAAAATATTTTCAAAAAGTCTTAAAATTACTACTATTTTAAATCATCAGTCACCTAATTAGATTCTTTTCTGGTACCCTAATATTAGTAGTTCCAAGAATATTATACAATTGGAATATTGGAATTAATTTTAAATAAATAATTTATTTATTATTCTAATAATTAATTAAAACAGATACATAAGTGCTAAAAATTTGAAAAAGTGAATTATCTAATATTTATTTTACTGATAACATTAACATAGATAAGGTATTAACTGATTGTAATATATATCTTCTTAATCCTGTTACAATTTTTCTCGGTAGGTGATTCAAGCCTATGAATATTAAATTATTGTAACCTTGACATAGAAGAAAAAGAATAAAAATATCTAATTATTTTAACATCTTATAGTAAAATTAAATGACTTATAGAATAGCTGATAAGTAATAAATCTGTTTAGGGAATCTAGCTGGGAATAAAATATTTTGACTAAAATTGAATAGTTGATATCATTCATTTTGGAATTAATCCATTAAAATCTGAGAGAAGNAGTTAACATATATGACAAGAATGAAAATTCAACTTTATTTTAACAATACACTTTAACTTTTGTAAAACTTTGAGCATGGTGTTTTCAAATTGATACGAGCATTCAATCAAATTTCTGTTAAAATTCAGATGATTTTCTAAAGTATAATGACTTTATTTATTATATATTTGGCAATAATAAAATGAAATAAAACTTACAAAACAATAAAAGTTTAACTAACAAGTTAATTCTAAGAATATGAAATTGATATGAAAAGGTGCTGCTTCATAACTTTAATAGCTATTTCTCGATATAATTCTTCTCATTAGATCCTTTTTCAATGCAGCCAAATAAAATTATATAGCTTCATTTTTGTTCCCTAATTCAAATAGTGAATCAGCTAAATTGAAATATAACTCAGAATTATGTACCTTTGCATCTCAATCTTTAAGGTTGAAATAGCTTAATCAAAACATAGAATTGCATCTGCATATTTCTTTAACTTATGTAGTGCCAAGCTTAAATTATATTTAAATTTATCTTTATTACTCAAAGTTTAATCAAGTATGGGATTAATTGAAACTGCTTTGTCAAAACAGTCAATAGCTTCTTAGTATTTCTGGAATTTTCTTTAATGACGAACCTATACAATAATATATTGAAATATTACCTTTGTTACACCAAGCTTTATAATCTTTGGGATTAATTGAAATTAGTTTTTCGTAGCGCTAAATTGATTCTTAGTATTTCTATAAATCATATACAATCAAAAAATAATGTAAATGAATGAAATATAAAAGACCTATTTTAATAAGATTTGCAATACCTTAATAAAATATTTTCAAAAAGTCTTAAAATTACTACTATTTTAAATCATCAGTCACCTAATTAGATTCTTTTCTGGTACCCTAATATTAGTAGTTCCAAGAATATTATACAATTGGAATATTGGAATTAATTTTAAATAAATAATTTATTTATTATTCTAATAATTAATTAAAACAGATACATAAGTGCTAAAAATTTGAAAAAGTGAATTATCTAATATTTATTTTACTGATAACATTAACATAGATAAGGTATTAACTGATTGTAATATATATCTTCTTAATCCTGTTACAATTTTTCTCGGTAGGTGATTCAAGCCTATGAATATTAAATTATTGTAACCTTGACATAGAAGAAAAAGAATAAAAATATCTAATTATTTTAACATCTTATAGTAAAATTAAATGACTTATAGAATAGCTGATAAGTAATAAATCTGTTTAGGGAATCTAGCTGGGAATAAAATATTTTGACTAAAATTGAATAGTTGATATCATTCATTTTGGAATTAATCCATTAAAATCTGAGAGAAGGTCAAGTGGATTTATCTGATTCATATTTAATTTTTAGAATAGTAAATATCGGAATCCATGAAGTCTTAAAAGTGAAGTATCCAGCGTTCCAACTAAGTTTGTATTTTTGTTGAGATCTACCATTGAGGAGATAATGTCTCAAGATGTAGTTCAAATTAAGAGAATAGGAATTAGATAAAAATAAAGGAGCATTAATGACTTGAAAAATGAGAAAAATAGCAATTTCAAAAAATAAGACAGAGAACAATAAAATTAGAAAAAAATTAGAAAACCCCAATCGTAAATATTAGCATTGAATTGGTTTGAAGAGAAAAATAAAAGGCTATAGTTCTATTAAAAATAACCGAATACATTTAGTAGGCAAAATTATTAAAAGAGAATAGCCTTATGAATTTTAATTGCAGAAGATCTGAGCAGTGATTATAAATTTTTCCATAAGTTACGAGATTCACTATTAAATAATGAATAAAGTTATGTTTTTGAATATTTTCGGGCCTCGAAGCTCAGGAAAGTCTACATTGCTAATAGAATATTTGGATGGCATTTTAACTAATATGGGAAGATGCACAAAGGGATTATATCTACAATTGTTAAAGATACCTAATACTAAATAATTTGGTGACTTATTTAATTTGTTTTACTATTGGATTCTGAAGGGCGATAAAATCCTAATTAATATGAAAGAGGTTTAAGGTAACCTCCAAGATACGTATGTGGCAATGAGCTTAGAAGAGTCCTTAATAAAAGGTTTATTAATTAAGGAAGTTATTTCCATATAATCTTGTTCCTTTAAAATTTCACAAACTGTTGCAGGAACGTTAAACGATTAAAAAATTATAAAGATCTCAAGAAAACAAGGATTAGAGAGAGAAAGAGTTTGAATAACTTCGGAATTAATTAATCGAAAGTTCAAATTAGGAGATTGTAAAAGTACATATAGTATTCTAAAGAAAATTATTTGATTATATTTTAATATATTAAAAATACTTCTAATGTAAATAAGTTAATTTAGAAAAGCATTAATTATTTCGTAAAAAATAATAAGACCACATTGAAAACAAATACCAAGAAATAAAGGAAATTTGTAAATTATTCTTATAAAATATTAAATAGAATACTTTGTATAGCCTCAATAAACACAGCAAATATGAATATTAACTTATATTTGATGAAGATATAACAAGAAAATAAAGCTAAAATTGTTTTAATTCATAGTAACCCTAATTTTAAGAAGAGAAATTATTGATAATCTAATAAGTTCTATTAAAGCATCGTAATCTTCACTTATACCAACGATTACTTTTAGTAAGAATTACATCTTATAAAAGTTCCCCAATTTAAAAATTTTAAGTAATATAAAATATCAATTAAGAAAAAGATAATTTGTTTATTTTAATATGGAAAAGTAAATCAAATACAAATAAAGTTAAAATTTAAGCATTAAAATCTTTAATTATATTATCAACTAAAGAATTAATAACACCCATCAAATTGATTTTTATCAGGAATTTCCATCCTTGTTTTTAGAAATTATGAATGTTAATTAATGATGGTAAAAATTATTTTCAGAAATCTATGATCTTATTTAACATAAATTTAAAGAATAATAAAATCTGAAAAGAATGAATTTTTGGAATTTTAAATAAGTTCTAAGATTGAAGTTATGACTCAATATAATAGACAGTTAATATAAAGGAAGTGGAAAGTATTTTTAGAGTAACTTCTAAACAATTGGCTTTCTTTGGTTTTGAATTTATGACATTGATTATTCGAAAATTGAATTTTGTCTACTTTTTTATCATTTAGAGATTTATATGATATGATAAATTGCAAATGTATAAGGAGAATAAAAGACATTAATGGAAAAAAAGGCTATAATGAAAGTACACCCAAAAATGGTCTAATAACCAAATAATAGAAGAAAACAAATGACAATCAGAAAAGTAAATAACATAGACCTTCAAAGGATGTATAATATGCTTCCATGAAAAAACTAGTCTGATGTGATAAAGATGGAAATTTAAAGACATCTTTGGGTAAAAATGTTGAAAAAAATAGAAAATTTTCTTAGAAAAGGATATTATTATTAGATAAGAATATATAATCAGCTAAAATTTCTATAAAATAAAATTAAACTAAGGATAATATTTCTTAATCTATTAGAAACATTATTTCAAGAATTTCTATCCTCGAATTAATAAAAACAAAAATTAAAAACTTTATTCGATTAATTCTAATTAAAGGATTATTTTAAGAAAAGAAAATGATTTGGATGGTTGTGAGCATTCATGTTCCATGTGCAATAGAAAATGTGATTATGAGAATTATTTAGATAAGGATCATAAGCACTCGCGCAAAATGGTCGTCAATTAAGTGGTAATTATCATTAATGTAAAAAAGGTATGAATCAATTTTAATCAGATCCTCTCCTCTCTTTTTACTTGTGAGGGAATACTTGAAGATGCATTATACTAAATTGAAGAAAATTGTAAATTTAAAACTTGGAGAGAAATAAAATAAATTATAACACTTGGATTTTCAAGGATATTTTATCTTAAGAGCAAATTCAAGATAATAAATAAAGAATGATAGAAATTTAGAATGGTGGAGTAGGTTAGGGTATTTGTGAATAATTATCAAAAGATCTAAATTAAAAAATCATATACTTAAAAAGCATGAACTTCCTATCCAATTATAGCATAGCTCAACTCATTGCATTTTCATGCAAGTTGACTCTGGATCCCTAAATTATCATTGAAATTCAGTTAAGCAGTGCCATTAATCGCAATTCAATTAATTAAGTCAGAAAAAAATGTAAATGCTGAATAAGTATTGGAATATTTAGTAAATAGTCATTTTTAGCTTGTTCTCAAATCATAATACTTGGAGATGATTGTCAACTTTTGTAAAATGAGAAATAATTAAACTATACACAATTAAAATTATTCTTTGAAAGAATTAATCCTAAAAAAGGAATAATAGTTCTGAAGAACAAAATTAGAAATTTTAAGTATCTTAATACACATAAGGAAGAAACTTTAAGAGTAAATATGGAGAAATGAAATTATATCATCACACAATAAATTCTTGTTAATTAAAAAGGAATAAAAAATAAAATATATAAATATTGTTATTAAAAGAAATTTATGTTATTGATATCTATTTTATATCTTCATCATTACATGGATCACTTCTATCAACTTAAAGAATCAAAGTATTTTGGAGAAAGAATATTAACGATATCCCTTTAAGATTTTCATTATATTATTGTTATCCAACAACAACAGTTGTAGGATATATTTTATGCCTTTGGGTATTCAGCAAGTATTGAATTCTTATAGTGTTATGAAATTAACATGTTAAGATTTTGGATGTTGGAAGGGAGTAAAGAATAACCAAATTGCAATTCTATGCTATGGGATACGATGGAATAAGAGAAACAGAAATTTTAGATTGTTTGCTTAACCTGTAGTATTAGCAAAATTTTCTAATTAACGAGCGTTCAAAATAATATTGTATAATAAGGGAGGGAAAACTGTAGATTCCTTTATATCAATCATTAAAATTTAAGACTATTATTCTTGTTGATTTTAGGGTTTATATATTAGAATTGTTTCTTTAATCTTTTTATACCTTTCTTGTAATTGCAGTGTATATATTTAAGAATTCTAATTTAACTTTCTTGTTTTCGACCAAAGAAAACTATTATAGTTATAATTTAGTAAAAACTTTCTTTCATTACGAACCCAATAGATCACTTTGTAATGCAATTTAATAGGTATTTTATCTTCTAGGTTTTTCATGATAAACTTATTGGAATCTTAAATATTGAATTATAATTTACTAGCTACTTATAGGTCTTTTTTATAAAGTGTTCTGTAAAAAGGCATGCAAATATTTTCTTAGTCAATATTAACAATTTTTTGATGCTATTAAATTTTATAAATAGTTATTTAATAGTTAGCATGACCAAAAAAACAGAAAAAATGAAAGTTTGTATCAATGTTCGTCAAAAAGAATCCATAAATAAGTTTTTAATAGGACTGCTCTATGAAATTTCATTATAACATTTATTTTCCATTACATCTAATAACTTAAAATAACACTATTATATAAAATGAATGAAGGATATACTTCCCCCTAAAATCTAAGATTTAAATTATAAAAATATCACCTATGCTAATATATCATTTAGTGAAGGACTGCATAAAACAATTAAATATATATATGAAGATGATATTACAAAAAAAATTTTTTGTTTGTGCTTTTGATTCAACCAACATTTAAGTCATTAAATGTCAAATGATGATGTATGTAATTTGTTTTTCATTATTGCAAATTCTATCAATTATTATGACATATTATTAAACAATATAAAAGGTAAACTATCTTTTATTTCTATTATATGAATAAATTATAAATCCTACAGTCTATTCAAAAAGAAATAGATGAGATTATTGAGAACAACTAA